CCCCTTTACTTTCTTACACTTTTTTTTTTCACAAGTAAATTTTTTACTTCTTTCGCTGATTTGATTTTATTAAAAAAAATCATTTTTTTTTTTTTTATAAAATCATTTTTCTTTCACTATTCAAGTAAAAATCAAATCAAATATCCCATATTTTCAAAAAAAAAAAAAAGTCGTTAAATCCGTTCATAAAAAATCCGTACACGTATTTCATCATATCATTCCTTAAATATATATATATTTCACCTTATAATAATGTTATTCAACGGAATCTTATCATCAATAAATAAAGCGATGGAATTGGCTCTTTCAAATACAAAGCAGGACTATACCGATGCAGATAGTATCATTGACGAAAAGAAATCAATGTATACCGATAATAATAATAATTATGGAATGCTTGAAAGACTCAGACGCACTGGTAGCAATCGTAGTCTTTTCAAACTTTCAATAAAGAAAAGTTGGAACTTTTCGAGTCAAAGCGTAAACGGTCCTGCAATCGTCACTCCTCCAAGTCCAACAAAAGTTGCTCCACTTTGGAAAGAACAAGTTGATTCCAATACTAAAAATGGTCTTAACCCATCAGAAATTCATCGTCAAGAAATTATATTTGAAATTATTCGAACTGAAAAAGCCTTTGCTGATGATATACGTTACCTTAATGAGGTAAAAATATTTACATATCTAAAATTATATATCAATATACCAAATATACCGAATTATATACTGATATACCGATTTATACTTTAAAAATTTAACTCATTTCTTAATATAGCATTACGTTAAAACAATTCAATGTTCCGGAATTCGACTTCCTCCTAGTTTGAATGAAACATTCAAGATTTTACCAAATATCTTGCTCTTACATTTTAATGTATCTTTGGTAAATATATTATCATTTTCCCGAGAATTACCGGAATTACCGGAAATTACTATTCCTTACCCATATTCTTTCCGAAAAATATTTATACGATTTTTTTTTTTTTTTCCAAAATATAGCAACTTCTTTGTATACAAGCCATTATGTATCCAATCATACCATCAATAGCACATATTCTTCGGGACTTGGCTACACAATTTCGAATGTACGAATCATATTTAGTACATCATAAAATGGCAATTTCCGAGATAGCCAATGCACGTAAAAAGAATAATAAACTTGGACAATTGGTTAAAAATTTGGAGGCTGATATTTTTCCGGGTCCCCCAGGTAGAATTTTAACACTTGAAAGTTTACTCACTAAACCGTTTCAAAGATTATGTAAATACCCCCTTCTTGTGATGGTAAGAATTTTTCATTCATTTCCAATTTTGGAGATTGGCGTACATTACGTCACAATTTGTACGACATTCGGGAATTCACACTTTTTTCCTTTATTTAGACATTATTGAGAGCTACCGCACCCGACCATAAGGACCATTCACAATTAGTGGATTTACACAATCAAATTGATTGCGCCCTTAGAGAACTTCAAGAACGTAAATCGGAATATGAACGTTTATTAGAAAATGATGATTTTCCACGTAAATTTGGGGTGAGTATTTATTACTTGATTTTTATTTAATATTGTGGAAAATTATTCTTATCTAAATTTGGTTCTTTTATTTTTTTTTAGTCTTTTGGACGGTTAAACAAATTTACTTCAAATAGTCGTCATCGTACATACACTTTACCTTTTTCACGATAATTAAATTCTGGACAGTTTATCTTTGGTTATTAATAGGGATTATTAATTAACTTTTGGGTTTGTACAGTTACAATTATTTGTAAATGGAATTTTCTATGGATTTAATTTTATGGATTTTTTTTTTAAAAAAAAAAAAACAAAAAAATTTAATGTATAAAAGTGTAAAAACATATGACACTTTATTATGATTTCCCCTTTTTATATACCTTTTGTATTATAAATCCGTCTTTTTTTTCTTTAGAGTTCATTATACGTTGTAAGTATTGAATTCACCCCCCATTTTTTCTTGTATTAAAAAAAAGTCACCTTATTTCATCATTTTTTTTTTTCAAGAGCAATTATTTCGCGATTATTTCGCGATTATTTTTACGGTTGCTCCTCATTTCATTTGTAATTTTTTTTCACATTCTCATTTTTTTTTTCTTTTGATCTATTAATATACTATTTTAATTTGATAAAAAAAAACGATCTTTAATGGATGAAATTTTAAATTTCAAGTGGATAAAAAAAAAATTCTTTTTTTTTAGATATTATTATTTAAGATTCCCTAAATAGTTATTATATATTTCCCCCGATACCGTTTTCTAAAATTAATTATTTATTTTTACACACATTCCTTTATATATATATATAACAATTATTTTTTTTCAAATTTCCCCTTTTTCATGCTGCTTTATGCACAAATCATAATAGTAATTAATTGTAGTTTAAACCAAGAAAGGAAAAAAAAAATGAGAGAAAAAAAATTAATATTTTTATTTTATTTTCAACAACAAAACAATTAAGTCATACCAATCAAAATTTTCTTTCGAGAAATAAGTTCTGCTGTGCAGGACCATGATTCAAAAAAAAAAAAAAAAAAAAA